TAGACACACGTGACTTGCAAGCACCTAGGGGCGTGGCGAGACTAGCAAACACCTAAAAATAGTCGAGGCTGTCAAGCCCTTTAAAAGGAAATTCTATTATTAATTTACTAGCAAACACCTAAAAATAGTCGAGGCTGTCAAGCCCTTTAAAAGGAAATTCTATTATTAATTTATTATTACGAATAGAGTCTAATAGTGGGAATTTATTAGTCTACAGGAAATGAGATTCATGCATTGTCATTTAAGACCCCGTTTACACTAATCCACTTCACTGAATCAGGGTTGTTTTTGCAATTATCTGTTTCAGGTGTTTACACTAATCCAGCAGCTGTGTTTTCATAAGATTTATCATTCATTTATAGAAGTATCCACTTTGGTATCCGTGTTTACATTTTGCTTCGGATAGGTGATGCGTTTTCATGTATTAGTGTAAACAGAAGCTATTATAGAACAATGCTGCATGTACAGTGATGAATGGCTTAAATCATAATAATTGAATATTGATATAATAATCATAATAATCATAGTAATGGTGTGAATCATTAACAAAAATATTAAAATATAGAATTGTTATGCAATAATTATAAATACCTGAACCTGATACATAATTATAGATAAATAATAATCATAATAAGAAGAGTGATCACAAATGACTCAAAACAGTTAAATGCTCATGGAATAAGGAGATTAGCAAGTTACAGGAGCCCATGAAAAAAGTAAGGAAGTGCAACTCCCACAATTTAATAAAAGCATATAATAATAGAACTATTATTTAATATAAATATGCATGTATTATTAATGCATGTCTACTTCGACCTTTATAAATATCGTATCATCAACAATGAATCCACCTTCCATTAGTTCATCGATTGACACGAAACGAGGACATCCACTGGCAGCGTTCATATCTGATTTTGGCTTCTGAAAGGAAGAACTTAACGGATCAGGTTGTAGTAAATCGATAACATCTCTGCCACCATATTGATTGATTAGCTTCAAGGTCACCTTGTGTGTGAATGGCCACTGGAGTATGTTATCAAACTCTCCTTTCATGAGAACAAAAAACAAAGACATATGAGTGCCCTTTCCTATACCATCCCCCAGGATGTAGAGGCGAAGACACATCTTGTAGCCACAGCGACTTGTTGGATTCGAATAGAACGAAGGAGAAAACATTGAAGTACACTTCCCAGTCCTGGCATCATCCATACACTGAGAAAACTGAGGTATATTCCAAGCCTTAGAAACGACAAAAATGTTCTTATCTAAGGAAGCAGCATTGGCTTGTATGCCATCCAACAAGTCACAATCGGTTTTCTCCAGTTGTGCCACCTTATCTTGTAAACCTGTCAATGTAGCTTGGAAGCTTTGCATCATTGCTACAATCTCATCACTACCTCTTCCTTTCATTCCTACTGCCCTATCATCCAAAAATCCAAATGTACCAACATATCTCCTTAGTCCTGCCTGTGAAACTTCAGGACCATGGTCACCTTCCTTGCTGCTCTGAACAAGATTAGCAGAGGACTCAAGTGAACCAGATGTCATTGCAGTAGCTACGAATAAAATATGATTAAAGAGGCCTGAAGACAAATGAGTATTGCACTCTTCTCTAGTCATCTACAATGAGAAACAAATGATTTGGTTGATTAGTTCAGTTTAAATCAAGTTCCTTACCTCTTTCGTTTCCTTGCACCCATATTCCTTAAGAGGACATGTGACAGTCATCTTAGGACATTGATCAACATGTGATTGGTACTATAAGAGAGATAATGATTGATAACTGAGGCTGCTCCAAAAAATTAATAGTTTGAATTACAGAGGCTAATTAGTCTCGCATAGCCAGACTAGAGGCTAATGATGGGTACAATGCAAAAAACATGCTATCGTGATGTGGGCAGTGGCCCAGAACTATTATGAATTTAATTGGTTATTTTTGTAATCATTTTGCCAAATAAGGAGCTATAAAATTGTATTTAAAAGTATAGCCTGCTTTATGATCCCTGACTCACTTCCAATGGTAAGAATGCTTGATTACAATGCTTGCATTCAGTCTTGTTATGCTCACAGGTCCAAAGATGGTTACCAAGTTCACCCAGCTTGCCTTCCCAGCTGCAACCAAACTTGCGATTAATACAAGCGACTACGAAACGGCTAATCTCTTTCCTAACAAATCTATCAGGGAAAAACTGAGAGAAACAGACACAATAATAAGTTTTAAGTGGCACTTTATTAATAGACATACTGGTCTTCCTTCTTCTGCAGTAAGTGCTTCATCGCAATCTGCCCTCGGACAATATAGCGTTTCTTTTGGCCTACCAAAAAATTAATCATTACAATTGTCTAGTATACACTACTCTTGAAAATAGCTACAAAAATCATCTGTGACTAGTCAGGCTGTGACGTTGCCTTACATTTTCTTAAAAATTCCATCAGCACAGTCATGACACAACCAGTGGCCACAGCTAGTCTGTACTGCGTCTGTCAATATGTGCTCGCATTTTGGGCACACGTATTTTGCTAACTGTTCCGCTTTACTAGCGTTCTCTGCCAAATGACTGGCCTTTATTTTCGTGCATGTCGTCATAGTTAGATAAGTCTGTTCAATCTCCCTCTCTCTACAATGAGAAAGTAAGATCATAGCCTATAGGCAGCCGCCAACCGGCAAATTCTTTTATAACCAACAAAGGAGTCCAGCATGACCTGACATTTTGACATTATATTTCAGAAGGCTCAGTCTCACACATCAATTGTGTTTGGCCAGTTTTCATAACTCACAGCTAATTTGTAGTTAAATAACAAGTTTAATAACTTTTGCACCGCCCATCCGCCCACTTGCCCTACTATATAAGCCCCTGCAATCG